TTTTTGTAGACCATTTGGGTAAAATATATTTCTTAGATGTTGATTTGCGACAGTAGTGCGATTCCATTTTTGGCAAACTTTCAAAAATATCTTTGAGTGAAGCTACTTCTATATGAAATAGATTCTCTTTAACCTTCGGTGATTCTACCAATGATACTGCTTGGTTGACAATTGATCTTTATTTTTTGAAGGTCTCTTGATAGGAAAGCATTTGGCAAGACTATCAACATACACCTTCTTTTCTCCGCAAGTCATTTTCCAAAAACTTATAAAGATTTTCATTCAATCTGTGTCTAAAATATCATGACTTTGTGTGTGTGTCATGCGTTGGGAATATTTCCTTATCGAAAACAGCAGTGTAATTGGGTAACATAAAATCTTTGTCGAAGATCAAAAAAGGAATTGTTTCGATAGAACTGTCTTTATGAGAATATGAAAAATCACTCTGCATTTCTCCATTACAATCAGTGGCATACCTACGAATGGGGGGGGGGGGTCTCACCGCCCCGGGTGTCATCCACTTTTGGGTGACACCCAATTTATTAATATCTTATATTTTATTTTGGTTTATAATTAAACGGTCTTATATAAAAAAATAAGTGGGTGTTTATTTACACGACCTACGAAATGCTGAATGCTGAAAGATAAAGTTATCATTATTTAGAAAATATAATCGCTTAGCTTTCTTATTATTGTCGAGAACAAGGTTTAAAATTACATGTGTCAACGTTTCTAAATACTGCTTTAATAATTTTGTATATAAAAATAATAACATATAATACATGGGTGACACCCTATTTGCCACCCCGGGTGGCACCATAACTAGGAACGCCACTGATTGCAATGACTAATGTCTTCGGTAAATGACATAAAAAATCAAGTATATTTTAATCATTTCAAGGAATTATATATGATAATTTATATATATGATATATATATGATATATATGATAATTTATATATATGATATATATATATTATATATAGAGATATATATATTATATATATGATAATTTATATATATGATAATTTATATAAATGATACTCTATATATGATAATTTTTTCAACACTTTATATCCTATCTACGATGCAAATTTTCCATTCATAGAAAAGACAATAAATCCAAAAAAAACATTCAATCCCTGGATTACCAGAGATTTTAAAAAATCATCGAAGATCAAGCAGAAACTGTATATAAAGTATTTAAAAACAAAGTCCCCAGAAAATGAAAAAATATACAAAGATTATAAATATCAGTTTGAAAAAACTCGAAAAAATTTGAAAAAAAATTACTGCTCTAGCTTAATCGATAAGTATAAAAATAACTCCAAACGTACATGGGAAATAATAAAAGAAATAAGCGGAAAACAAAAAGACTGCTCAGGTTTCCTTCCCCAGGTCATCAAGGTTGATAACAGAATCATCTATTAGTTTTCTTCTAAATTACCATTTGAAGAATTTGAAATAGCATTTAAAACTCTGAAAAAAAATAAAGCTACTGGAGCAGATGACATTTATGGTAATATAATTCTAAACTGTTTTGAACAATTAAAAGATATTCTCTTAAAAGTTTTTAGCGCGTCAATTAATCAAGGAATTTTTCCTGAACAACTAAAAATTGCAAAAATTACCCCAATTTTTAAAGAAGGTGATAGGGCTATTATTAGCAACTACCGACCCATTTCTATCTTACCTATATTTTCAAAAATATTAGAAAGAATTATGTATAATAGAGTCTATGATTATTTTCAATGCAATAACCTACTATATAGCAATCAATTTGGCTTTAAAAAGGGCAACTCCACGGAACATGCAATCATTCAATTTGTACGCGAAATTTCAAAATCCTTTTAATATTTCCAATACACACTAGGTATCTTTATTGACCTATCTAAGGCTTTTGATACAGTAGATCACACTATATTACTGCATAAGCTTAAATATTATGGTATAAACAAAAAAACTTTAAGATGGTTTGAAAGCTACCTACCAAATCGTAAACAATTTGTTTCTTGTAAGGATGATTGCCAAAAAAATTTATTAGATATATCTTGCGGTGTTCCTTAAGGCTCTATATTGGGACCCCTCTTATTTTTGATTTACATTAATGACTTAAATAAAGCTTCAAATCTACTTAGCATTATGTTCGCTGATGATACTAACCTATTCCTTTCTGATACTGACATCTCCAAACTGTTTTGTAATATAAATGACGAACTTGAAAAAATATCTAGCTGGTTCAAGTGTAACAAATTAACTCTTAATCCTAATAAAACAAAATGGATTATTTTCCACCTGCTTCAAAAAAAACGTTACCTACCCATAAATCTGCCTACAATATTTATTAACCAAATTGAGATTAAGAGGGACTCTGTCATAAAGTTTTTAGAGTCTATCTTGATGAGCACATTACATGGAAACAGCATATTGATCACGTATGTACCAAGATTTCTAAAAATATTGGAATTTTATATAAATCTAGAGATTCTAGATTTATATAAAATTCCTATCTAAATAATATTTTATCTAAATAAAAAAAGTTTGACCCAACTCTATCATTCGTTCATCCATAATTATATAAATTATGCAAATATTGCTTGGGGAAGTGCTGGAAAGAATAAGTTGAAACGTCTTTTTTCACGTCAGAAACACGCAATTCGTATTATTAATTTTTCCGATCGTTTTACTCATTCAAAACCTTTATTTAACGAAATGAGAATACTTAATATTTACGAAGTGAATTTATATAATACTCTATGTTTTGTATATATGTGGAAAAGTAACTTATCTCCTGACGTTTTTAAAAATATTTTTATTTTGAAACCAGACAATAAGTATGCACTGAGAAATACTAATTTGCTAAATCAAGTTTTATGTCGAACCAAGTTTAATTAGCTTTGTATTGATTATCGTGCACCTAATCTTTGGAATAAAGTTATTTTGCAAAATTTTGATCTACCTTCCTCTTTTTCTATTTTCAAAACTAAGCTTAAAAATCTAATTCTTTCTATGGAGAACGTTTTTCTATATTACTAGTGTTATGGGTTTGTCTACCTATTATTAAAACTAAGTTTACCTAAGTATATAGTTACATTGAGATTGTACTGAAACTGATAGCTGTGAATAGATGTATAAATATTTATTATTTGAGTTCGTATTGTATATTGCTTTACATTATATATTGCTAGTATGTATAAATTTTCAGGTTTATTTTATCTTTTATTTAGTATTTGAAAAAACAAAAAACAAAAAAATTTTATTACGGTTTATATAACACGGTTTTGTAAAAATTAAAAAGAAAAAAAAAGAAAAAAAAAAAAAGAAAAAAAAAAAAAAAAGAAAAAAGAAATTAAAAAAAATCAAATCAAATCAAATCAATAAATTATGTATAAATGCGTATGTGTATCTGTGTATGTATGTATTTATATATGTATATTGGTATATATATGGGTGTATGGGTGTATATGTGCTGTTAGTATGGGTGTGTGTGTGCTTGCAGTCTATGTATATTCAAAAAAAAAAAAAAAAAAAAAAAAAAAAGAAAAAAGAAATTAAAAAAAATAAAATAAAATAAAATCAATAAATTATGTATAAATGCGTATGTGTATCTGTGTATGTATGTATTTATGTATGTATATTGGTATATATATGGGTGTATGGGTGAATATGTGCTGTTAGTATGAGTGTGTGTGTGCTTGCAGTCTATGTATATTCAAAAAAAAAAAAAAAAAAAAAAAAAAAAATAGAATAGTGCTGCATAACCTTCTGGAGTATAAACACCCAACTATAACTGCTTGGCAATCGTTGGGCTGGATTGAGATTCGTTGATACCACCTATGATCGCTTGTATGGTAAAGATGCAAACACAATATATACTTTAAAAAAAAAACTATATTAGAACAAGAGCTAATTATCAACAAGAACACCCACTCTGATTTTATTTTCTACAATTTTAATGCAAGAAATTTTCAATTCAATTATTATTATTTTTTTAATCTATTCGATTTATATTAACATCACAAACACACTAGACGTCATCAAACACATCGATAATTATACTGAAGTATATTATTTTTAACTATTCTATGCAACGGTTTATATAATTATTTATCGGAACAGATATTGCATAATGTTTCCAATTAAAAACACGCCTTTAAAAAAAAAAAAAAAAAAAAAACTTTTTTTTTGTCAAATAAAATTAAGTTTGCAGGAGTTTCTTTTTGAATTATTATTTTTGGTTGCATTAAATGAAAAAAACGGACAAATAAAATAAAAGTTATTAAACTTAGAAGCGTATTTTAAAATTTTGACATTATTACTACTTGCTTTTGAATTTTAAACTACGCTTTTAAGTTTAATAACTTTTATTTTATTTGTCCGTTTTTTTCAAAATTTTAAAATAAATATGTGCAATATAGGGTTAAGAAATAACTACAACATAACAAAAATTTGGTTATGTTGTAGTTATTTTTTAACCCTATATTGCACATATTTATTTTAAATTTTTGAAAAAAACGGACAAATAAAATAAAAGTTATTAAACTTAAAAGCGTAGTTTAAAATTCAAAAGCAAGTAGTAATAATGTCAAAATTTATAAAAAAAAAGTAGTAATAATGTCAAAATACTGTATTTGGTCCAAATATTAATTTAACTGTTTTTGGAAAAAAATATGCTTTAAAAAGTTAAAGTGTCTTACCTTACTTTAATTCAGATCCTTTATATTTTGAAAGCTTCAAATGTGTTTATTAATGTATGTTATAATAAAATTTTAAACTCCGCGATCTAACACTTCACAATACAAAATGGCGGGAGTTAGCTGGATAGGTAAATCGTTTTTTGTAAACCTGGAGTTGGCTAGTATGTGTGCGGGGTGATTTAACGTATTTATAATTTTAATTGAATTATGGTCTTTTTGCATATCATAGAAAATTTGAAGATCAACTAAATAACATAAAAATCTGGATTTCGACCAAACATGGAGTTGGCTGGTTTGCGGATTAAGCCATCAATATGTTAATTTGAGTCTTAGTAACGGCGGAAAAAAAGATGGCGTTCGGGCACGCTTCAAAAATATAAATGGCAACTCTATTCTAAACTTTCATTTTTCAATTAAGAAAAAATTGTAAAAACTGAAAAGGTTTATATTTATTTAAATAAATTTATTTTGTGTTATTATTTACTTTTTATAAACTGGCTTTATGTAATTTTGAATTGACTTATGTGGCCTTTGAACTGGCTTTGTTAAAAATAGATTATTTAATAATTAATATAAATTATATTATATAATAATTATAATAACTACAAATTATAATTACAAATGTAATTATAACAATTAAAAATATAATTACAAATTTAATTATAATAATTACAAATAATTAGTTCTAAATGATAAATCAGTATTTAAAATTAATTGATAAGTTAAAATTTTGATTAGGATTGATCAAGTCAGAATTTGAACACCTTTGAGCTGGTAAGCACTCATAGACATAACTGAAACTATATGCAAGGCTTTAGACAGTAACACATTTACCTGTTTCACATGTAAGCACAGGCTGTAGTGTTTTTATTAATTTGCAGAAGCTATTTGATAATGGATCATAGAGTATATAATGATAGTGGATCATAGAATTTTGATATCAAAATTACATCATTATAGTAACAGGGGAATTGCTTACAGATAGTTTAAGTCATCTCAATCTCTCTAACTGCTTACAGTTTAAGAGATTCAAACTGTTACAATTTTTATGAAAATTGTAACAGGCATTGAATTCAATACCTGTTCTTATTCTAAATCCATGTCTGTAGATGTTCCATATGGCTCAATTCTTGGTCCCCTTTTTTTTTCTTATTTATATAAATGATATAAAAGTTAAAATTCAGGATTAGTGGCGAAAAATCAAATCTTCCAAATTAAATTTAGGTATAGTGTTAGATGAAAGTTTTTTTATTTATCTACCTACTTATAGAGTAAGTATGATAATATCATACATTAACAAACATCTGATAGCTAACAATGCAATAGATCCTTGTTAGTATTCCAGTTGCAAGGAGTGCAAGTTGAACTAGGTTTAACTTGCACTCCTTGCAACTGGAATGGAGTAAAAAGTAGAAGTTTAAAAGCAATCTCCATATACATAATATATATATATATATATATATATATATATATATATATATATATATATATATATATATATATATATATATATATATATATATATATATATATATAATATAAAACATATGTGAGTTTAAAATAGCATATCATGGATATGCTATTTTTAACTCTCATGTTTTATGGTTTTCAGATATAGTGGCAAGTATTTTTGAAGTATATACTTCAAAACAAATCAAAAAGAGTTTTTCATTTTTAATCAAATAGGTTTGATTCAAACATCCTTTGCAGTTTATAAAAAGTTTTGAAGCTTAAAGATCTAATATTCCTATCGAAATTTACTTTTGTCTGCGACAGTTTGTATAGTAGCTTACCAATAAGCTTTTATAGTTGTTATAAACTTATTAAAACAATTAATAATCATAAACTTTGAAGCAAACATCTAAGCAACCAGGGTGTAAGCCAGCCCTATGGCATATACAGCATATACAGCAGAATTCCTTTTTTTTTTTTTTTTTTTTTTTTTTCTTTTTTTTTTTTTTTTTTTTGAAGAATTAGGACAATTTCAATGAAAATTCCAAATATTTTGTAAAATAATAACAATAAGAATTCCCAATATTGCAAAAACGTGGTAAAAAATATATTCCTGGCTAATACCCCGACAACCTGCAATTTTTGAAGTCTTCTGTCAACTGTTTCTTTGATTTTTAACTCTAATCATTTTTTTCTAGTAACTTCCAAATTAATAGTGGTTGCTTGCAACCTTGTTTGGAGTGTATTGGAAGTTAAAATAAAAAGGTGATACATTAGCATTTTGAATACACCAATTCATTAAAAAAAAACCGCGTAAAAATTTTGAGGCCTGGACTTGAATTAAGTAGGTAAAATAAAAAACTTTCAAAATATTTTGAGTAAACAATGTGCTGACATTTTAAGATTTTCTTTTGTTTATACTGATTATCCTTAGATTATACACATAATGGATTTAGATGTGATTAATAAAATGAAAGTATGTGAATTAAAGCAATATTTAAGACTTAGAAATTTGTGTGTTTCTGGAACAAAGAGAGAATTGGTTGCTCGTGTATTTTCAGCAATGGAAAATTTTATTGAGCCTGTACTAACTGCTACTTAGGCAGTCGAAGAACTCAAAGACGAATATCAAAAAAAACTTTTAGTTAACAATATTAAATTGAGTGATCCTTTTATATTAACAGATGGTTGGTTACCTGAAGAAGATGGTATTAAATATTGGCCCATGGTTTTATATCCAGATATTTTTAACTACTTGATGTTTAACCCGTCAGAATTAAGTAGCAATGACTTGAATGATTATAAAAATTCAAAAGCTTTCAGTTTTTATAAAACAGGTAGGCTTCAATAATTGGCATATCACTGCCTAAGTGAAGAAAGTCCATTTTGTGCAATAAAAGGTGAATGCAGGCATTCACATTGTATTAATGATACATACCATAAACTGTGGTTAATTATAGAAAAAGAAAATGCAAAAATCCGATCTTGTCACTGCACATGTATGGCAGGAATGAGTCAAACATGTAATCATGTTGCTGCAGCAATGTTTAGAATTGAAGCTGCTGTTAGAATGGGTTTAACAAATCCAGCTTGTACAATGGGTTCAAATCAATGGCTTCCAAACCATACAGATGTTTTGCCTGTTAAAATTAAAAATCTAGATTTTAACAGAGAAGATTTTTCTCATCATTGTAAAAAAAAAAGATCGCTTGTAGACAATTTGCATAAAATATTTAATCCAATTTCTGATTCTTTTACAAAGCTTAATCTCCAGGATATTGCTGAAGCGTTAAAAGACATTGCACCTAATTCCATCCTCTTCAATGCTATACCTAAACCAGAGATTGACTTTAATTGAGAAGTTGTAAATGACATTAGTACTTGCCAATCAAACCTAATGAGTGTTGATGATATACTGGCAATGTCAAAAGATATTTTACCTTTTGAAAAAAATTTAACAACTCATATGACACTAAAAAATATTGAAGAAATTGAGCAGTTAACCAAAGGACAAAATAACAATATACACTGGTACAAGTTTAGAAAAGGTGTTATAACAGCTTCAAAAAGTTATGATGTTTGGGCAAAAATGAACAAAATAAATAAATTAGTTGCAGATATGTGGGAATTGAATCAGCGCATATCTGGCATTTGTTAATCCAAACATACCCGCAATAAAGTATGTTAGAGAAATGGAAGAAAATGCTGTTAATTGTTTTTATGAAATTTTAAAAATTAGTCATAAAGGGGTAGTATTGCATGATTGTGGATTATTTTTAGACAGAGATATTCCTTTTATTGGTGGTAGTCCTGATCGTATTGTTACTTGTTTGTGTTGTCCACCTGCATATCTAGAAGTAAAGTGTCCCTTTTCTATAAATTACTTGTCCCCACTTGATCCAAGCGTAAATCTTCCATATTTGACTAAAAGCGATTTTGGTATTTCTTTAAACAAGAATCATGCATATTATATGCTATGCCTTGTACAAATGGCTGTTACAAGGCACCGTCATTCATATTTCATGGTGTGGACACCTCATGGAAATTTTATCGAACATATTGAATTTGGCAATAAAAAAATGAATGCAATCAAGTGTAATTTTAAAGAGTATTACTATAATTATTATTTGAGCACAATTTTTAGTCAATAGACTGTAATGTGTTTTTTATTTGATTAAAAAAAATATGGTTACATTTCTAGAAGTTTTTATTGTTTTAAAATCACCCAAACCAAAAAATAAAACAGAACAAAATTATTATCAGTCATAAGTGATAAAACCCTATAGCTAAGAAGCATTTTTATAACATTTTAGACATTCAAAATTAAAAATCTCTTTATTTTTATAAGCGACGGTTATATCAAAATTATTACCTCTAACTGGAGAGGGGATACCTTTTCTAAAAAATATCAAAAAATGTTGTTCAACTTTATTTTAGATATAATGAACATTGTATGTTCACATAGGCAAACAAGGCAAGATAAGTCTGTTCCAGTATGCATTTTATTATGGCTTTTCTATGGTAGTGAACCATTAGGGTTGGAAATTAGGAGTTGTATGGGGTGTGAACCCCAACAAAAACACAAATTCTGAAGTCAGTGAGGTCTGAAATAAATGTATATTATTTTTGATTTATTATTTTGATTTTTGATATATTATTAAAAATAAATATAAGATTATTTTTAATTTATAAGCAGATTTTTTTTCATATTCCTTCGCTGGAGTGTTTAGCCCATGATTAATAAGGTTTCACGTTGTTTGTAAAATGTTACTGGTAACCTGTAATCTAGTTTAACCTGCTTTATGTTAACATCAGGAAGGGTAAAAAAATTGCTTAACTATAAATGGCATTCTAGAGCCAACATGAAGCATAATTGCATTTAAATCCAAACCACACAAGTGTGAAAATATTGAAATAAAACTTGGAAAAAAAAAAACTAAACAAAATTGTTTACTCCCAGTGTTTAGTCTATTCTAAAATAGGAGGAATTCTTGCCCCAAACCCTGTTAGAGAAACAAAGGATTCATATAAAACTTAGAAGCCTTTCTTTTCAAAAAAAATATTGTGAAAAATACAAATAAACTATTATTTTAAGTTTTCATATTTCCATCTCTTGCATTATTGACCAACACAGGTTTTAAGTTACATAATGCTGCACACACCCTCACAATATCATCGACATGACGCAGCATAGTTAAGGAAAAACATTCTTTAAAATTCTATAGGTTTTCAATCTATTTATTACTCTTTCTACATGTATCCTCAAGTTAGCTATTTTTTTGTTTTTTTTTGCATTTTGCATCATTTGACTTTTAAGACGAGCACCTGGAGGAACGATTAAAGTACAAAATCTTAACAAAAGTTCTTCTTGGATTTGAAATTCACGATCTGCCATGACTTCATCATCACGTTCTAATAAGTCATAAAAACCACTATCTTTTGTTATAAAATTATCAGAACATCTTCCACCATAACAATCAGATAAAAAAGTGATAAATCCATTAGGAGAAATTCCAACAAGAAACTTAAAAGTATTATGTTGTTTATAATTAGACCAAGTTGAAGCTTGTGCAAGTAGAGATTTTGGTCGTTCAATAAAAACTTCAGTGCAATCAATAATCACACAACACTTGTGATTATTGATTGCACATTCTTAAATACTATAGGCAAATTTTTTCTGATGACTTCATGTGGAAGCCATACAATAAGAACACTACCTAACACACTGCTTAAAAGTTTCATCCATGTGGTAAATGTGTTAGAAGAAGTAGTAGGAGAAATTCCAAATCGTTCTGCAATGTCTTCATTAAGAATTCCAAGACAAAGTCGCATAAGTGTTAATAAAAATTCATCACCATGTGTAAGTTTTCTATATTTAGGTGAATGAAATTTGCGCTTTAACTTGCCAAAGATCTGAACATGTTTGGGTCCTCGCCAGTATCTTAGAATTGGAAGAAAAGGTATAATAAGTGAGAAGATAGCATTAAATAAAGCTATTGTAGAGATCCCTATATAAAAGTTCATTTTTTTGTCTGTTTTTGCTTTATTGCATGAAAAAACTGATATTTTATTAGTTTGATTAACTTGTTTTTGATTTAGTTGCTTCAAGGATATATTCAAGGAGTTTATTTTTTAACAAGAGAATCGATTAAAGAGGTTTTTGTATTACATCCTTCGCTCATATTTAACAATGAATGTCTAGCATATGAATGTTCACAGCTTGGTAGTGGTAAATAAATTGTATCATCATTATTAGTATTATATAACTCACTGGTATTACATAACTCTGATTTTACACTGGTATTGAATAACTCACTGGTACTATCTTTGGTTGTATAATTGTTCATTTTATTGTCTGTGCTAATACCTATCGAAGCTGAAAAGTTTGATTTTGGAAAACGCTTATATAAACTTCTTCTTGTCTTTATATACGTACAATTATATCCCATATGTAAAGTTGGATGTGGATTTGCAATGGTAGGTATTCCATCTACAAAATGAATAGAACATACACTATCACTGTCACATGGATTCCATTTTTTCCTATTTTTTCCTTCCCTTTTTAATAAAACTTTCCACTTTTCTCTTTCTCTAGAATTTCTTAAAGAACTTGGAAAACAGTAAAGATTGAAATGACGATTACAACCACAATGTTCTTTTTTCAAATTTTTTTTAAATTTTGAAACAGAATTTGTGCTTTAAAATGCAACAACAACATTTTAAAATACAGCATAGTTGCACTTTGAAACATTTAAAATTATCTGCGTGTCTAATTTATTTCAAATTGACATTTTTTAATATACGTTCAGTAAAATTTATATAAAGCACCATAATTCATCTTTTAATTCATTTTTTAAACATTATTATTTTAATCACCTACTGTAAATATTTTTACAGAAGTACAAAAAGTAACCACATTAACTGTAAGTTAATGTGACTACTGCCCACATTAATAGCTGGTTGGTAAGTCAAATTCCAGATTAAATTTGACTTACCAACTCAAAAAAAGTTTAGATCGCTGCCTGGAAATTATATTGCAGTGTATAATTTATGTACATTTTTAAACTTAATGTACTTTAAATGCTTTTTAAAAGGTTTTATATATATATATATATATATATATATATATATATATATATATATATATATATATATATATATATATATATATATATATATATATATATATATATATATATGTAAGTAATTTGTTGTTAGTGAACTTATATATGTCATAGTAAATTTGTTTTTTCTGCCAAAAATTTTGTTATCTGTTTAATTTTAGTTAATTCAAATTAAACAGATCACAAAAATTTATTTTTTAGATTTATTTTTAATATTATGTTAAAATTTATTAAGGTTATCTCTAAAAAAACAACTTTTAATACAATTATTGCTCATGGTCTCATCATCTCATGGATTCTCTTATATCTAGCCAGCCTATTAATGAAGATGTTTCAAATATTGAATCTATTAGGAAAAACTTAGATGCTTCGATTGATAAATTAAAAAAAGCTGAAAATGTAGAGGAATACCAAAGTCAATGTACTGTTTTAAGCTTATTGCTCGGTAGTTTAGATAATATTCATATGTCGCTTGGAAATTTACGTGTAACACAAATTGGAAAATACATTACAAAACTAGAATCAAGGCTTCCACCTCACCTTTCAATCCAAGCCAAAAATTTAAATAACAAATGGAGGGACGTTGTTTTACAATATCGCCAATTAGTTAAAAAAAATCTTGCAACGCGTATAGGATCTGGAGATAATATGGTTTGTATAAAGTTTAGATTTTTATTTTTTGTCATTAACAAACAAAAAACATATTTTTGATCTTTGTGATTTTTGTTTTAAAAATTTAAACTTTTGTTTATATTGATATTAACATGTTATAATATTAATAATTATTATTATTATAACTTTTAATATAAAATATTATCAGTGGGCTTTTGAAGCAAATTATTTTCAAACATTAGAAAATTTAGATCTGAAAAATGTTTTTTATTTACTAAAAAGTTTTTTTTTAAAGAGGTTTTTTTTAAATGATATAATATTTTATAGTTATAAGTTTCATCTTACAAGGTAGTTTTTATGTAAATATAAACAACATTTAAAAATATTCATCCACCACTTAACTTTCCTTCAAAATTTTAAAATTAGAATTTATTTTTTTATGAAATTTTGAGGTAAAAATTGCTCAATTTTTGCATATTTTCAATGTATAAAACTTGAATTTTCAACTCCAAATAGTTCAAAAGTTAAGACAATGTTCTCTACTTTTGTCCCTGTTTGTCATTATGATTTTTGCAGTGGCATCTTTTAATGTAAGTTTTCAGTTTAAGAGAAATTATTTTTTACCCATTTTTGAGGTACTGAAGCCTAAAATGTAGAAAAGTAACTCAATTTACAATTTTTGTAGGTAATTTTTCAATTTTGAAATAACTTTTTTTTTTTAAGAAAAAAGAAGAAATTTTACTTTTTAAATCATAAAATACAAAATTGTTTTCTTTTAAATCATAATAAAGATGTGTCATTTTGAAATTTAGGCTGCAGATGCTCTTTTTTAACCCATTTCTTCATTAATTACTTTATAGGGATTTATTTGGAACCCCAGATGCCATTTCCTAGCAGGCAGGAAAACATGTTTAGTCAAGCACTCATTAGATAGTTTAAAGAAAAATAAAAAAAGTTGTCAAAAACATTTTTGTAAGATTATGACAGGAATGTTATCTGGACTACTATTTGTAAAAAAAATTAAATTGAGAACATGATAGTATTTGTAGAAAAAAGAAAGAGATGCAACCTTTCGACAATAAAAGAGAGGCTCATACTTAGCAGATAAAGTAGCTCCAACTATATTACAATTCATTTTTCAGACCTTGTCTAGAAAAAGCATCATTTGAAGAACCAGACCAAATATGACAAGAGTATTTCATAAGGAATGAATAAGAGATTTGTAGAGGTAGAGAATGGAATCAGGAGTAAGATAATGACAAGCCTGATAAAGTGATGCATATGGTAACTTTGCGATCCGTTGTATATGTGGTTTCCCTGAAAGGTCAGTAGAGAGCAAGCAATGAGCTACAAAGTTGTCTAAGTTCTGCTAATTAACCTAAAATTGTAACACTACCCATGCGCAATATGGCACTGGTAATACTCTAATATTTTACAGCTGTTGATTTAATCAGTCTCTGTTGGAGCTACTACTGAGTTTAGGAAACTTTTCTACCAGCTGACCTCAGAACCATTAAACTAAGTTTTAGAGCTGTACCCTTATTAGGAGAAAACACGAAGAGTTGCACAAGCACTATCAAAGAGGCACAAGCAAAAAATCTATCAGTAGACTTGAGAAGAACCAGCATTTATCATCCTAGTCAGAAAACTTTGTGACAGATTTACATTTATGCCCACCTAATAGATGAAGAAGGGTTGCAAGGCTGGTCAACAGAAATTTTCTGCTTAACCTTAGTCTTTGCCTAGAAAGCCTTATACAAGACAGTAGCTGCATGCAGTTAACATCTGCCCAAGATGAGTATTGATATTGAGACACCATCTGTAGCTTTAACTCAACCAAGAGCTCCAAGACATGTGAATTTTAAGTCAGAGCTTGTTTTACTTAGTTTTTGCCTAGAAAATTGAATCCTACAAAGGCACTAAAACTGGGGCACATAGTACTGGGTTACATGTTACTAATAGCATTGTAATCATGATGATTCTGAACTTAATCTGACCTGGAATAATAGATCTGCTCTATTATTCCAGCTGCTGAAATTTATTCTCTTTTGAGATATGTTATTGTTGCGCAAAAATGTAGAGACATGAACTTTACTATTTATTTTTTTAATAATTTTTAGAAACTCAAGCTAGCAAACCTCATATTTACACAGGTGTTATGATATCTAAACACTGTGGGTGTAAATAGTTATATATTTTTGTTTTATTAAAGTAATCAAATTTTAGAGTAAAAATGTTATAATTAGATACCCATTTCATTTTTATAACTTTTAGAAGTTTACAAAACATGTTTTGTACTAACCTCAAATAAATTTAAATATTAACTTGTTCCACTCATGTTTTAGGTAGGGTAGCCAATTTTTAGAGGTTCTTTTGTTCCTTGGTCCAACCATTGTAATCTTTTTGTTTTAAACTTTAAGTTTTAATTTCATGCATTCAACAAAGAGGTTTAGGTTTGTAGGTTAGTTTTAAATCTCCTTTGTAACTTCAGTATTTGTCTTTAAACTTTGTCTGATGCATTAAGATTAGATTCAGTGACATCCACAGCGTGTCTGATGCATTAAGATTAGATTCAGTGACATCCACAGCGTGTCTGATGCATTAAGATTAGATTCAGTGACATCCACTTTTTTTTTTTTGAAGTGTTGTTATATGATTTGACTAATTGACTAAACAACAGCTTGAAGAAGAATGTTTTTTAATTAACGACAAAAAATAGTAGTAAAATAAAAGTAAAATAAGAACTCAAGTATTAAGTATTTAAAATCAATCAAGTATTTAAAAACCAAACATTGGTTTTGTCGTAAACTTATTTTTCCAAAAAAAAAAATGAATTTTATCTTAATTTAATATTAATTGTTAATATTAATTAGATATTTTAATATTAATTAGTTTTAATATTAAGTATGAATTTCATAAAAAATTAAAAATATTTTTGTAGCTAATATAATTTTCATAAATTTTTTATAAATATCTAATTTTATATAAAATATGTATGTTTTATTGATTTCAGATTAAAAATGCTCCAGAAAAAAATCCAGAACCTAGAACTTCATTGCTAGCGACTGAACTTAATACTGTTCAAAAACTAAATCAAAAACTAGTATCTACAATTTCATTGCAAGATACTGACGTTATAATAGTTCAAAATCCAAATCAAGTAAAGTCAAAAATTACAATACCAGGTACTCCAACTTAAATTTTAAAAAGAATAAAAATGTTATAACAAATAATGTTTTATACTCTTGAGTTCTTAATAAATAAAAAAAGGGGGGGGAGGACATTTATTAATTTTTTGAAAATTTTCCCACCCACCCCAAGCTTATTTAGACCCCCCCTCCCCATTTATTAGTTTTAACAACAACAACAAAATCAGTGAAAATTGGCCTAAAAATTAGTAAATAATTATTTCAGTAACTGATAAAAACCAAAGCTTGTAGTGTAAACAGGCTTTAAAAATTGACAACCAAGTAGATCTTGACTTTTCGAAAATGAGTTTTTGGTTTATTTCTTGCAAAAGTTTAAAACTTACATCAGCATATATATCTTATTGAAATTGTTATAAAATAGCTGTTAGAAAATTGTATTAAGGACATGAGTAGATTATGCAGATCCAAAAAACATATAAAATTATTTTTTGAATAATAATTGAATTGATTTAGTATTATTAAATTATTAAGGTTTTTATAACCAACAATTTTTAAACTAGTATCACTTTTCATAAAATGATGACTGATAAGAGATCAGCTAATACATGTAAAAGTGTTCTTTTAGGGTCTAATCTAGGAAAAAATTTTAGGTGGTAGTACCCCCTCCCTGTCCCGTTCCATCCCCGCAAAATTTAGTTGAAAATCAGGGTTTTTTAGCAAAAAAAAAACAATATTTGCCATAAAAAACGTTAAAAAAAAGGCCCTCAAGTTATAATTGGGGCAGCCCAAATATGGTCGACGCTGTCGAAAAAAGTGTAGAATAGCCTCCGTCTTTTTAGATAAAGGAGAAGTAAAAGAATAAAAGAATAAACTGTTTAGGCTAAAAACTCAACTTAAATTTTGAATAAGAGCAATTTTTTTTTAATTATCTTTGCTTCTAACAAGGCTGCAAGCAACTACTATTAGAATTGGAAGTTACTGGAAGAGAAAAGATGAAGTTTATAGAGCAAGATAAATATTGGCAGATGACTTAAAAGATTGCAACTTATATGAATCAGGAAAGCAAAAAGGAGGAAGCAAATCCCAAAGAACTAGTAAGTGACAGGTGCCCCGGCCCTGGCTAAACGTGAGACTTTATGCAAATCCAGCTCCGGGTTTGCAAACATAAAAATGTTTATGTAGCCCCAGTCACAAACCCGGCCCCGGCTATATTTTATCAAACCCGACCCTGATCAAATATCAATCCCGGTAACTTATTACAATAATGGTCATTTACTACGATGAATAAGAGTTTTTGGAACACTTAGGAACAGTCACAGTAAAAGATGAGACTTAATAGAATGATGAGTAATACGAGAATAGATTTTAGTCGATGGCACAAGAGACACTAGCTCTTTAGAGCTACTATATTTTTAATGCGTTTTTGCACCTTATCCAAAAGAGAAGAACACCATTAGAAAATCTGCTCTAGATATGGCAACAGTATTCCAAACAATGACGGATATGAGATTAATAGAGATAAAGAGTAGAATCTGGAGTAAGAAAGTGTCGAGCACAATAAAAAGATGCAACCATAGCAGTTACTAATTTTGCAATGGATTTGATTTATAGTTTCCAATAAAGATTGTAAGTAAGAGTTAATCCTAGAACATGAAGGGTAGATGACTCATTGAGTACATTACTGTTCATAAATAGGAAGATCTAAATTGTTGCAATAATGTTTGGCTAATGTTTAAAAAATTGTGTTTAATCTGAGTTAATGTTCACCAGCTACTGTGAGCCCCATGCTATAGCATGGGGCTCACAGTGGCTGATTTGATGACTAAATTTAATAGCGTACTGTGTTAGCTTTTTTTCAACTAATGACTGAACTTTGTATAAGTCAAATGAACCTTCTAAGCCAATAAATCTTAATAAAATTATCCTCCTGAGAATGCAATCTTTTATTTATTTATTTTTTGGACTTACAGCTAGCCCATTCGTCTATTGCTATTGAAAAATGTGTTCCTAACTGAGAGGTTAGGAGTAAGCTCTTCATTTTTTTAAATATCCACTCTGTATTTTGTGCGAAGATCACTTACCAAATTTGATGTACAGACAATTTAAAACTGAATGGGGTATTTTACATTTTGCCATATTTGGTGTTTCTTTTTGAAATATTTTCTATGCTCCTTGTTTTTTGTTTTTCATACAAACTTATATATCCATATTGTATATGCATAAATGTGCCTATTACCTGACCTCCTGGATTCAAGCTGGTGTGAAAGCTTTTAATCCTTCTCTTAGGTTTTCAATCAAGCCTCATTATTGCTATATTAAACCATTATAATTTTTGCCATCTTTTTTATAGAACATCTCTAAAATAGTCTTTTTATTATTTCATAAAGTTAATGTAAAAATGTTTAATGCTAAGCTCCATTATTCTCAGTTTACTAAATCTTGTATCTTATCACATATGTTTGGTTTTAGAGACTTATGGAAAATCTTTAACAGTGTCATTAACTAAAATAAGTCTAATTAATTGTTTCTAATTCATGGGTCTGATCTTGTTTTTTCTCCCTAGATTAAGATATAGTTATTTGCAAAGACCTTTTCCATTAATTTGACTCTTGAATCTAATATTCATACCTTTCCTTCCATTTCATTTAAATAGGTTAACATATTGTTAGACATCCAAATCACTGTAGCTTCAAATGCTTAAGTTTTTATTCTTCTCCAGCTTGTGGTTCATACAAAATTTCCATCATAATCTTACAAAAGTATTCTCCAGAATTCTCTTCAGTCAGCTTTAAAGTAGTTGTAAGATTTACGATGATAGGGGGATTCTGATGGTAAAGAAGAATGAGATAATAGTTTTAGAGAGACCAAACCATGATTAGAAGCACTTAAGGGTAAGTGTGGAGAAACTGAGCACTGACTAGGATCAGAAACAAGACATAAGTCGAGTAGAGAAGGTAAATGATTTGAGTTGTCTGGAAAGCGAGTTGGAAAGTTGACTATTTGAGTTAGGGATTGAGAAAGGCAAAAGTTGTGGGCCTTAATGTCTGCAGAGTCACTGACACTAGAGCCAAGCCATTCAGTGTTAACATTATAATGACATTTATGATTTTATTATTTTAGTAGCCTGGTTAACCGGGCCAGCCCAATTCATAATAATAGACCTTTAGACTTATGGAAATATAATTTGATTAAATTTGCATTAATTAAACCAAATTTTTTTTATCTCACTTTGTTTTATTTCAAAACAGTTTAAATGATAAAATTAAATGAAAACATATACTTTTAAATCATCCCACAGAGGTGCAGAACCTCAAAAAAGTGGCCATAATTCAAAAATTTTCGAAACTTAATAAAATTATTATTATTTTTTTTTTAATGAATTATATTGCTTATATTTCCTAAAAGTATATAGGTTTGTTATTTTTGTTTATTAACAGAACCGCTACATGGATTATAAAGACGTAATTTTTTTTTTTGTCAGAATTTTTAAAATATCTTAAATTCTACCTCAAAAAAAGTTTCACTTCATTTAAGTTAAAAAATTTTTTTTTTTTAATTTCTCTAAAAAAATGCTAAAAAAAAACTCTTTATTAAGAGCCGTTTTTTCTAAGAATCAGGCTAATTCCTGAAACTCTGGAAGTGAGCTCCAAATTGCTTGAATTTTCTATATATTGATCAGAATATAGAAAGAAACTGTTAGAGAAAAAAAAAATTTCAAAAATGTTTAGTTAACTCAGAATCTGGGCTTAAATTTTTGATATTTTTTAAAAATTTTTTAGAAATTTAGTTATTGCCACCTTTGAACCCATTTTTTTGGCAAGGCAAAAAGTTGCACGTAGCTTTTGTGGTTAATATCAGAAGTAACCCAAAAGCTTTCTCTAAAAAATATTAAAAAATTGCGTGACACTGTGCGGTTGGCTAATTATCATTGTTCAAAAGTACAAAGTACACAATTTTTCTTTTAGGATTTGAAAGTATCAAAGGTATTAAGTCTAAAAATGTAAAGAAAGTTATTTGATACCTAAGGTCTATTCATATATTAACGCTTGAAATAGAAAAAAAATGTTATAGTGTACTTACAAAATGATCTATTACGGCAGAGGCGCTAAGTATTGTAAAAATATAATCATGTTAAATGGTCAATATAACATGAACCTTACATAATTAAAAAAACTCATGTGTTAAAAATGATTAAGTACTTAAGAGATATTCTTGGTACACAGATGAGGGATTTGTATCTGTTTTTGCTCACAATAAAATTTTTATCATCCAAAATTAGCAATTAGCGTTGCAGAAAACATTGCATGTAATGTTAAGAAAAAATTTAACCGTTTCTGACTTTGATATAGAAATCATAACAATTAAAATAAATAATATTAAAAAACAATATATGATCAGAAGTGAATTATTTAAATTTACGTCATAACCAAATAACTTGTGGTGATTGAATGGAATGAAAAATTGCCGATATCATGATTGTGGAGAAACTAGTTAGTGGGCGGTTGTCATAAAACATTTTGTTTTACCATAAAAATGTCTTAACTTTATTTTAACGATCTTTAAAATTTACATAAAAAGAGTAGATATTTTATCATTGTTATTGAGAAATAGGGGCTGCATAAATAGAACTTTTTATTAGTTGATTGCTATGATTTGTGCAAAGCTATCAAAATGATCAAAGAACTAGCAATTCAAAATTCTGACGATGCTGATTTTATTTATGATTTGGAAATTGCTGTAAAGGATGTATTCAACTACATAAAACACCTGGTGAGAGATTCTCAACAGAAAAAGGCAAAAATCGAAGCTTTTAAGCAATTAAACGATGAAACTGCTTTCTGCTTAAAGATTTTTGTCAAAAAATTCTTCTGGTTCGATACAAAGAGGGCCAAAGAGAGTATTTTGGCAAGAAAGGAACTAGTTTACATGTGGATATATTCTTCATAAAAATAGCAGGAAAGTTATTCAAAAGTGTTTACTTTACTTCAATGTATAGGTGTGATCAGGGAATAGGTGATGTTGTTTCATTAGCCACT